AGCAGTTCGGTGTGTGTGTGTGTGTGTGTGTGTACAGCGGGTGGGCTTTCAGCAGTTCGAAACCACTGGCAGCTCCGCAGGAGGAAGCTGAGGCTAACTGCAGACTTCCGAAACTCCCCGGTTTTATAGGGCCGCTCTATAGGGAGTGGGAGACAGAGGGGGCTTTCTACTCCTGTAAACAGTCGTCAGGCTTGGGAGCCCCGGGGGCAGTTGCACCCTGTCCTGTAGGCTGCTCTGAGTGGACATCAACTAACCCCTTGGCAGGGAGTTTGGTTTGGGTTTTATGGGTCAGATGCTACTCAACAGTGAGTTTGCTTTTGCTTTCTTGGGGGCCGGGGGAGGTGTGTGAAGGCCCCTCGTAGTGCCGTGGGCTAAGCACTGGACCACTGGCCATGAAAGCCACGGTCCAAACTCCCCAGCCACTCCCTAGGAGAGAGATGGGGCTGCTTCTGTGAGGACATTGCCTTGGAAACCCCGGACCAGTTTCCTCACAGGGCTGCTCGGAGCCCCAATCACCTGGAGGGCACTGTGTGCCTGCGGGTCAGTTGGTTGAGCCCGGTCTGAGCCACAACAGGTACTTTATCATGCCTCCGGAGTTCATGACTTTTTGCCCAGAGAAGGTCGTGCGTGAGTCCGGGAGCCAGGCTGCCACTCGCCATCTGCGTCACCGGGGGCATTTCTTGACTTGCCCGACTCGCCTTCCCTTCTGTAGAGGCGCCGTCAACTAGAACGGGCTTGATGGCTGCCTGTGGGCCCAAAGGTGTGGGCTCTCCTGGGACCAGAAACAGCCTACGCGGGAATGTGTGCACCCAGCCTGCGAAACAAATGCCGCCACCCTCTCCCCGTATCCTGCCCCTGCTTTTCATAGAAATGCAGCAGTATGTAGCTCTGAAAGAGAAGGAAGCTTTGTGTGTTTCTAATATCTTTTTATTTGAACACTATTTGACTCATGAAAATAACATGTAAAGGCCTTTTGTCCCCTTGTTTAAGTGTGTTGATCTGATCTCCCCCGATTTCACACCGGAGGAGAATCAGGCTCGGCCACAGGCCAAGGCTGATTGCTCTGAGCTGGAGGTTAGCTATGCCTCTAGGACCCGCCCGCCCCCCCCTCCAGTTCCGCCAGCAGTGCCCCTCCCCTGGCACACGCTACTTCTCTGCTGGGTCCAAGCATCTGTTCCCGTGCTACAGAACACGTTCCTGATGGTGGCGCTCACCAGGAAGTTCACAGGTTTACAATTCAGGACGAGAAACACGCAGCGCACAGTTCCCTGGTGGGAAAGCCCCTTCTCGCCCACGCGTGCATTCACGACTCTCTCCTGCCCTTGACTTCTTAGCAGCTGCTCTGGTGGGATCATGAAGCTCCGCTAGCTCTGTCAATAACGCCCCAAAGGCACCCTACTTCACCCAAAGGCGTTGGCACCCTACTACACCCAAAGACGTTTAGCTCTCCTTCCCCAGACAGAGCCCGCGAGGTACCCAACACTGTGAGCCACCCTCTGCCTGCAAACGCCCAGCCTTCTCGCTCTGCAGGCCAGGAAGCCCACCACGCACTCTCATGCTCTCAGTGCGCCCCCGCTGCCACTTCTCTGGTGGCACAACGCAGGGATCCTGGGGTCCAAAGGACGTGGTCCACTCCTGCCTCTTCTTTCCTGCTGCTGCTGAGATCCTTGATCCTGCTCCGTGCTGGTTCATTGAAAGCCCGGTGAGATGGCAAAACTGACCAGTCCCCACCCCCATCCCCCTTAGAGTTCCATACACTCTCTTTCCGTGGTCCCACTCCAGAGGTGCCATCCACATGCTTCCATTAGCCATTTAATCCTGGTGGGCTACAGACAGCCCAGGGGTGCACAGTCCCACCCGGTCACCTGGTGGGTTTTACAAGGAATAACTGAAGAGCCACGGCATGCCACCCCCATCACCCTGTTCTTCCCCGTGGCCATCCCTAAAAGATGAGTTTTTGAAGTGGCGACAGCATCCTGCAGGACGCCTCGCGAAGGCAACCAGAGTTCCTTGGGGCCCTGGTGTATCCCAGACAGCCGTGTGACTGCAGAGAGCTGTG